TAATAAGCTTGATAAAAATTCTTATGAAGTTAGTCAAGGAAATAAAGAGAATATTCACACAAAGGATTAGTAAGAATGAACATAGAAAATAGATGTTGCCAATGTGAAACAATTAATTAAAGAATTTCTGAATAACTTTATATGTCAACTAATTTTTTAAATTACGTAAATTCATTTCCCAAAATTAAAATGTCAAAAAATTGCTTCAGAAGATAGAAATACTGAATTATCCTTTCATTGTTAAAGAACTTATATCATCACTTAAAAAAACTTTTTTTCAAAAACACTCCAGGACCAAACCATCATTAAAGATAAATTTTACAAAAATAATTATAAAATATCAAAATCCAATGTTATCCACATTGTTCTGGGTAGAAAAAGTATATTTTAGTCTTCCCTGTCTATTTTATCAGGCTAGAATAATTGTCATAGAAAGATTAAACAAGAGCAAAACAAAGAAAACAGACCAGTGCACTCATGAACAACTGCAAAAATACTATGGAGAATATTGAAATTTTGAAAATGATACATTATTTCTAAACAAGGCTAATTTTGAATATTCAGGGATGATTGAGTATCAGATAGCTGAAAAAAACAGTTTACCATATTAATGGAATTCAGGAAAATAAACACAGAATTACTTCAGATGATGTCAAAAATAAACTGACATAAATTTTGATATCCACTCATTAAAAAATATTAAAAATTAAATGGAGGACATTTGTCCTTAATCAGATGAAGAACATTTACAGAAACAAACAAAAGTATAACAAACAGCATAAGTAAGTCCGGCTCTACTTCTTTTAGTCAATATTCTGTTGAATTTAATAAGGAAAAAGAGAAAAGAAAGATTTTGGAAAGCAAAAACAAAACAGTCACTGTCTCATAGTGATTCAATTGTCCAAATAGAAAATCTAAAATAATCCACAGATAAATTTTAAAAATTTTAAATGAATTTTGTGAAGTTGCTCTTCTGGTGGTTAAAATATCTATAACTTCTTGCATTCTCCGGCTCCCCTCTCTGGTTCCCACCTGTAACCACCCGGCAGGGCAGCAAGGATTACTCAGGGCTAGCAGGAGAGAGAGAGAGGAGAGAGAGAGAGAGTGGAGAGAGAGAGAGAGAGAGAACGAACACCAGGGAGTAGTCTTTTATTGGGGAACAAGAAATTCAGGGGAGAATTCCATCCAATGAAGGTTGGGGGGGGCACACTCCAAGGTCAGGGTCAGTGATTGGGCCCCAGGGGTCAGTGGTCAGTCACACCCCCACACGGACGGGTTCTCTCATCAGGAGAGGGCCTGGAAAGTTCCGACACAGCCAGAACGCCTCAGACCCAAACCGGGAGTCGCCCAATCACATGTGAGAATGGCTCCCCACAAAGTTGCTCTTCTAGTGGTTAAAATATCTATAACTTCTTGCATTCTCCATACCAGCAGCAATAGATAGTTATATAATATACATGCAGGGTGTGAGTGTATGAAAAGTATATATATATATATTTCCAAAATAGGCACAAATAAAATGAAAATATGCTAATTTTAATGGGAAAGCAAAACCATTAAAGAAGACTACATTAAGTTTATACATGGAAAAAAGTAAAATTGTGCCCCTATACTATATCATACATAAAATCAACTTCAAATGAATTAGAAACTGTTAACATTTTTAGAAATACATGTTCCTTTTAGAGAATATATTATGACCGGTAGGGAAATGATTCTTAAAACACACAAAAAAAATGCAAACCATAAAGGAAATAATGATCAATTCAAGTACAGTAAAAATAAAGAACTGTGGTCATCAAAAAACAAATAAAGGCATAAAAAGGCAAGAAAACAATATTGCAGCAGATATGAACAAATTTATATAGAACACCTGTGAATATGTAAGAAAAACATAACAAGTCAATAGGGAAAAATAGCAAAACATTTCACAGAAAGGGAAATACATATGGCCTATAAACATATCAAAAATTTCAATTTAATAAAAAAGAAAATATATCTACTCATACAAAAAAAAAAATCACAACACAATTCACTCTAAACCTACCAGATGGATAAAAGAAGAAATCAATAATACAAGCATCAGCAAAAATGTGGAGAAGTGGGGTAACTCTCACAATACATTTTGACATTGTCCAGTAAAGTCGTGTTATGCTTTAGATATGACCTGTACCCCAAAACTTGCACATGAAACAATGCAAGAAGGTTCAGATGTGAAATGATTAGATAGAGATCCAAGATGGCAGAATAGAGCAGGTTGCAAGAAAGCTGACAGGCAGCTTCTCCACAAGGAGAAGGTAGGTAAACAAAAAAAAAAAAAAAAATGGGGGGACTTTACTGGAACCTAAAACTGGACGTTTAAGCAGACTGGGGACACAGGAGGTTGGATATAGTAAAATAAGGAAAAAAATCCCCAGCAGCACAGCTGCTACCACGGCCAGGATTGAAGCTCCAGCCAGAGAGCTCCCTCTGTGAGCAGAGTAGAGGGATAAGGGAATTAAAGCAACATATTTTGGGGAGCCCCGAGGAGTGTTTAGAGATTATTTAGAGATCAAGACACTGCCCAAAAAACCTGAAGGACTTGCTGCATGATATCTGTGTATGGAGAAAGAAGCTGCCATCTCTCTAGGAGGCATGTGGAGGACAAAGAAAGGAACAATTTTGCAATTGTAGCTATAGGGTTCAGCCATGGAGGAAGCATGGCAACCTAACCTTGTCCGGAAATACAGGCCCAGCATGAAATAGTGTGCATTTAAGTGACCAGGAGAAAATTGAACGTGGAGAAAGGTTTACACAGGGGACAGCTGGAAAGCAGAAACCTACCCAGCTCTACCTCTACCCCTCCAATCCAACTACTGACTGGGAGAAATGCATCAGGCTGAAACTTGCAAGGATGGGAACTGAAAAATTGTTTGGAGACTGAACCTGAGACCAGGAAACATGGGTTCTGCAGGTGACATAGAGGATTAAGAATTGGATCCCCAACCACTTGAGTGGAACCCAGGGGAGATTCCCGGGGTAAAGTCTTCCACTGTGGAACAAGTTCTGCCCACAGGAGATGCACTGATTTAAAATCTCCAGGCCAATTAGCATTCAACAAAGAGCCTGGAGCCTGGATCACTCCTGCAATCCAGAGGGTAAAACATTGCACTCCAGAGGTCCCCATCTAAAACTGCTAAGAGAAGCTGAGACTATTTTGAACTCCAACAGAAAGAATTCTTTAACTTTTCATCAAGACTTTTCTTTAAATTCTTTTTCACTGTTCAATTGTGACCTTAATGGTACATGGACATTTATATAGTCTCCTATTTTTTTCTTATCTCTAGTATTTTTGAAGCCAGTTATTTTTTTATGAACAATGGTGTTTTGAGTAGTATATTTTAGATTTGTTTTGTATTCTTTTATTTTTATTTTTAATTTGTTTTAAAAAGTTTGCTTTCTATATGTTTTTTTTTTTCTCCTACCTATCTGTTTCCCTGGATTATCTTTTCTTCTGCTAACAGTAAATCTCTATTGTTCTCTCACTCTCCCTTTAATCTTATACTTTCTGTCTTCTCTCCTCCACCTTCATAATTATCATATCCTATATTACTTCTGTTCTCTCCCTGTCCACATTTGAAAAATGTAAGCCCTTTTGTAAACTGTTTTTATTATAGGCAATAACTGATCATATCATTTCTGTTTATTGTGAAAATTAACATGGTAGATGTCATAGTAGAAACTATTTGGTTTAATGCTATAAATTGTTTGCATTGGTTGTTGTTATTATTTGTCTCCCCCTAAACAGTGAAGGGTATATTATTCCCTTCAGGGATAATAAAAGTCCACAGGGTAGAAATTCTATCACTTCAGATCCATACTGTTAGATGGGTACATGCACAAACAACATGGTAAAGCAAAGAAACAAATCACTCCCAGCAAACTAAGATACTCCAATAATCCACCAATACCATGGTGGAAGAAATGTTAGAAAAAGAGTTTAGAATATAGCTAGTTAATATGATCTGTGAAATAAAGGATGATGTTAGAGTGCAAATACAGGTAGCAAAAGAAATAAATATTCTGAAAAAAATGAAAATAAATACTTTAAATAAAGGAAAAATAAACCAAATTAAAATTCAATTGAAAGCCTTCCCAATAGACTAGATCACTTGGAAGGCAGAACCTCAGGCAATGAAGACAAAATATATAATCTTAAAGTAGAGAGAAGATGTTAAGAAAATATGAACAGAACTTCTAAGAATTATGGGATAACATGAAAAGACCAAATTTAAGATTTATCAGGATAGATGAAGGTGCACAGATACAAACGAAAGGAATACACAATCTTTTCAATGAAATAAAATCTGAAAATTTCCCAAATCTAAAGAATGAAATGGAAACTAAAATAGGAGAGGCTTGCAAATCCCCAAATGTGCAAAATTATAACACACCCACATCAAGGCACATTATAATGAAAATGCCTAGCATACAGAATAAGGATAGAATTTTTAAAGCTGTGAGAGAAAAATATCAGTTTACATTTAGATTTAGATTTAGATTTACATTTACATTTCTCTACCCAGACCCTTAAAGCTAGGAGATCCTAGCACAATATATACCCATCTCTGAAAGAAAATGGATGCCAACCAAGAATCCTATATCCAGCAAAATTAAGCTTCATATTTGAAGATAAAATAGAAACCCTCCATGATAAACAAAAATTAAAGAATTAGCAACCAGAAAACCTGCACTTCATTATCAACAAAATATTCCATGAAGATGAAATGAAAAAAAAAAAAAGAGTAAAAACCAGCCAAGGAAAGAACTACACTAAAGGAATAGTCAATCAAAGGAGAAATAAATTCAAATTAAAAACTAGAACTAAACCAAAATGACCAGGAACACTAATATATCTCAATAATAACCATGAACATTAATGTTCTAAACTTATCAATCCAAAGACATAGACTGGCAGACTGGTTTAAAGAATAATACCCAACCATAAGCTGAAGTATTACCTGACTCCAGGAACTTAAATCAGCTGCCTGTCTATGAGAGGGGAAGCTATCTCCAGGCTGATGTACTTAGGTGGATGAGCACCAATGCCTCACGACTTTGAGTCACTAAAACAATGGAAAATAATATCACAGATAAATGGGGACTACTGTATTATGATCTACCTGACATTTATCTAAAACTGTTGTCTTTAGTTAGAACTAATTGTTCTGCTTTATTCCCATCTAACATATTTTCTCCAGAGATTTCAGTGTCTTCTGAGAAGTATGCCTTTTTACCAACAAAATACCCAGATCTTTCTAAGTGTTAAAAGCAAACAGACTTTTTGTTAAAAATAGAGTGTCAAAATAAATTCAGGAAAGCTTGACTCATTATTGTTGATAATAGCACATCGGCGATATCCCAAGCTTCAAAGAATAGGAAAATAGTGAAATCAATTATGAAATATTGACACAAATATTTTTTCCACACTAATGCTATGTAGAAGAATTTAGTTTTAAAAAAAGGATGATGATCTTAAAAATTTAGTTGAAATTTACAAAGGGTGAGATACATTTTTTGAGACTGTGAGTGTATACATGGCAGATTGTATTAACATTTTGTAATAGTAGTTATTTTGGGGTAATAAGATTATGGCTGGGAGTCACTTCTAATAAATAATAAGATATGCAAATTAAAAAGCTGCACAGGAAAGGGAACAATTAAAATATAAAGGGAAAACCTGCAGATTGGAATAAAATCTTTGCCAGAAAATTTTGACAGAGTATTAATATTCAAACTATATAAAGAGCTCAAAAACTTATCACACCAAAAACTAAAGTCAATTCAATAAACACTTTAGTTTTTTTAATATTTTAATTGTTTTTGTTTTTAGATATACATGACAATAGAGTGTATTTTGACATATCATTCATACGTGAAGTATAACTTACTCTAATTAGGATCCCATTCTTGCAGTTGTACATTATGTAAAGATTTACTGGTCATGTATACACATATGAAGATAGAAAAGTTATGTGTGAAACATGCTATTGTCTTTCTATTCTCATCATCCTCCCTTATTTTCATTCTCCTTTGTCTGATCCAGTGAACTTCTATGCCTGCCCCCATTGTGTTTTAGCATCCACATAGCAGAGAGAACATTTGGCCTTTGGTTTAGGCAATTGGTTTATTTCACCTAGCATGAAAGTCTCCAGTGCCATGCATTTGCCAGCAAATGCCATAATTTCATTCTTCTTTATGGCTGAATATATTCCATGTGTATTGTTATTTTTTAAAATAGGGCATTCCCCAAAAGTCACATGTAAGACAATGCAAGTTTTGGAAGAGAAATGATTAGGTTACAGCCTTAATCTAATCAGTGAATTAATCCCAATGGGATTAACTGAGTGATAACCAGAGGCAGGTGGTGTGTGGCTGGAGAAAGTGGTTCACTAGAGGAGTGACTATTGAGTATATATTTTATATCTGGAGAGTAGAGTCTTTCTTTGCTTTCTGTTCATCATGTAGGCTGGTTCCTTCTACCACACTTCTACCAAGCTGTTCTGCCTCTGCTTTAAGCCCTGAGAAATGGAACTGGCCTTCTATGGACTAAGACCTTTGAAACTGTGAGCCCTCAAACTTTTCCTTCTCTAAAATTGTTCTGGTCAGATCTTTTACTCACAGTAGCAAAAAAGCTGACTAAAACATATATATATCACATTTTCTTTATTCATTCATCTTTTGAAGGGAATACAGTTTGGTTCCGTAGCTTAGCTACTGTGAATTGAGTTTCTATACGCATTAATGTGGCTGTGCCACTGTAGTATGCATATCCTTTGGGTGTATACTGAGAAGTATGATAACTGGGTCAAATGGTTGTTCATTCCAATTTTTCTGAGGAATCTTCATATTGCTTTCCAGAGTTGTTGCGCAAATTTGCAGTACCCCTGGCAATGTCTGAGTGTACCTTTTTCCCCACAACCTTGCCAACATTTATTGTTACTTATATTCTTGATAATTGCCATTCTGACTGAAGTGAGATAGAATTTCAGTGTAGTTTTAACTTATATTTCTCAAATTGCTAGAGATGTTGAACATTTTTTTATATATTTTTGACCATTAATACTTATTCTGTGAATTGCCAGTTCAGTTCCTTTGCCCATTTATTGATTGGGTTATTTGGTTTTTGTTTTGGTGTGTGTGTGTGTGTGTGTGTGCTTGTTTGTTTTTTTTGTTTGTTTGTTTTTTTGGTGTTGAGTTTTTTTTTTTTTTTAATTCTTTGTATATCCTGGAGGTTAATGCTCTATTGGAGGTACAGGTAGCAAAGACTTCTCTCATTCTGAAAGCTCTCTCCTAATGTTCTTGATTGTTTTCTTTGCTATGAAAAAGATTTTTAGTTTGATACTATCTCATTTATTCATATTTATTTTACTTCTAGTACTTCAGAAGTCTTGTTGAGGAAGTTGGTTTCTAAGGCAAACTGTTAAAAGAGATTTGGGCTTACTTTTTCTTCTACTAGACCCAGGGTCTCTAATCTAATGTCTAGGTCCTTAATGCACTTTGAAATGAGTTTTTTGCAGAGTGAGAGATAGGGGTTCAATTTCATTCTACTACATATGGATTTCCAGTTTTCCCAGCACCATTTATTAAAGAAGCTATTTTTCTCTAGTGTATATTTATGGTGCCTTTGTCTAGTATGAGATAACTGTACTTCTGTGGGTTTGTCTGTGTCTTATATTTTGTTCCATTGGTTTTCTTTTATTTGTTAGTTTGGTTGGTTGGTTTTGGGTTTGTGTGTGTGTGCCAGTACCATGCCATTTTTGTGACTATAGCTCTGTAGAATAACTTAAGGTCTGGTATTGTGATGCCTTTTGCATCACTTTTCTTGCTAAGCATTGCTTTGGGTGTTTTGAGCCTCTAATATTTACAAATGAATTTCATGACTGCTTTCTCTATTTCTATGAAGAATATCATTTGAATTTTATTAGGAATTGCATTAATCTGTATAGCACTTTTGGTACTATGGTCACTTTGACAATATTAATTCTGCTTAAACACATTTCTCAAAAGAAGAAATACAAATGGCATACAAATATATTTTAAAAATTAACATCTTAGCAATTAGGGAAATAAAAATCAAAACTACACTGAGATTTCATCTCACTTTCTCTGGAATGGCAATCATTAAGAATGTAAACAATTGTAAGTGCTGATGATAATGGGGGGAAAATGAACACTTATATATTGTTGGTGGGATTGTATATCAGAACACTACTGAAATCAGGAATGGACTCACCTTATGGCCCAACTATGCCACTCCTCATATGTATCTGAAAGAATTAAAGTCAGCATACATCGTATCCTTGAACACAGCAATACATGAATACCTATATTTATAGCACACACACATGTATTGTATATTAGGACACTAAACACACACACACACACACACACACACACACACAAAATGGAGTTTTATTTAGTCATAAAGAATGAAATTATATTATTTGCAGGAAAATGGGTAGAACTTGAGAACATATGTTAAGTGAAATAAACCAGACTTGGAAAATCAAGGGTCATATGTTTTTTCTTGTATGTGGAAATTAGCAAGAAAAAAACAAAAAAAATAAATGTGCAGGGGGATCTTATGAAAATAGAAAGGAGAACAGTAGAGCAAAGGGAGCAGAGGGAAAGAGGAAGAAAGGGAAGGTACTAGGGAATAAAATTAACTAAATTTTGCTATGTTTGCAGGTATGAATATGTAACAATCAAACTATTATGTACAATTATAATGCACCCATAAAAACTCAAAAGAATAGCTATAGCTATTTAGGTTTTAATTTCTCTTTACCAATGACATTTCTTAAAGATATTAAAAGTTGAGTTGCAATTCCTATGATCTGATTTATATATTTGATTTTGTCAAATACATGATAATCCATGTTTTGTTTTTTAAACATAGGCCTTATATATAATGAACATTTATTAAATGGATGAAAACATTGAAAGAAAAATTGATAACATAAAATTTTAAACTGCCAATCATATTCATATAAAGGCTTAAAAGAACATCTAAATTTTAGTGTTCCTTAAAATGAATAGATATTTTAAGTGTTTTATTAAAAAGACAAAGACAATCCCCGTGAAAGCACTGAAATTAGAAAAACGGCGCTGTTTTATTTTTTTTTTTTACTTGAAAGGGAACACTTGTTCATAACACAAAAGTACTTTTATATTATGTTAGCATTGATAATCAGGTACTGTTATTATTAGTAAATGTACAAAAAAAAGGAAAAAGGAGTAGGAAGTTGGGCACAGTGTAAGCTGGAATGAAATCTCCTGAATATCAGCCCTATTAAACCAAGATAATTTGCATTATTAATACTGCTTTTAATGGTATTTTTTCTTTATTTTTCCTACTTTTCTTATTTGTTTTACTCTAAGAAGATCTTAATCAAGCCAAATTTAAAAAAAAAAAAAAAAGATCCTATAACAAACAGCACAGCTGCAAACTCACACCAGATCCAGGGAGAATCTGAAAAACTCACAGCAGCCCAGGGACACACTTTGCCACTGTGGACATGGAAAATGCCAAGTTAAAAAAGAGAGGAAAACAAAACAAAGTAGAATTTTGAGCTTTGCCCACTGATGCACATTCAAATAAATATCCACTTACTGGAGTAGTATATTAGATGTTTGAGCCAAGCAACTGACATGAGTCTTATGATCCAGGGCAAGCTCTGCCAGAATTTCCTATTAAACTGTCAGTCACCAGATACTAGGTGTCAAAAAGGACAAAGCTACACATTTTGTTTCTTAATTTATTATTCCCCCAAATCACAGCACACAATGTGTCCTCAAACTTGAGAGTAAGAATCATAATAAAAAATGACCATATTTGTCATTATATGGGCCAAACACACCAGAGAACCACCTACGATTTAAGGGAATAGAATTTGCATGCTCTACTGATAATTAAATCCGTAAGTGTTAAAGTATGAATCAAATAAGAAATACTATTCTTAGGGTCTCCTAAGTTACAAACCACAAACTAAATTATTTTAGATATAGGATACGTATTTTGTTCTTAGCTTTTTAAATCTATTATTAGAATGTTTTAAAAGAG